AAAATCAAAATTATCAGGATTTTCTTCCGGAAGATTCGAGTCGAGTCGAGTCATTGTTCTTTTTGTTTCTTGATACAGATACAGTTTTGGGGGGGGGGAGGGGGTTGCTATTAGGTTGATTACTTTGTTATTGAGTCTTGAATGGTATATTGATATTGTATTGTATAACCTTTCACTTTCTTCATTCTTTCTTCGTTATTTCTTCCTATCTATCAAAAGTATACCCATCTCCTCACACCTCCTCTCTCCTCCCTCCCCTCTACAGCTCAAACCCACATCCTCGAAAGTCTATCGATCTATCTATCTACATCATCCATCCACCCATACCCCTCCATGATATTTCTCACATAATTCCTTTCTGACACCCTGGTTAGCACTTAGTAACTTAATCGTATTCGATTATGAGGTAGTAGAGAAACGATAAATCCGAAAAAAAAAAATGAAGATTATATTTATACTAGGCGATAATCTCGATGGGGAACTTGTATGCAGAGCTTGTAAATAGAAGGATGAGATGAAATGTGAAAAATCGGGTTCGGGTTTGGGTTTGGGATAACGCGGGATCAATCTTATTTTTTGAGTAAAGATCCTTTTCTTTTTGATTCGGAGATTTACCTTTATATTAACAAACTCAGAGGACATGGGGAGTGTTTGGGTCGGAAATTGTTATTTGGGGATAGAGGGATTTCTTCTGAGGGGGATGTACTTTGATTTGATACTTTGATTAAGAATGAAATTTTCATTTTTGGGAGAGTTGATGCAGAAAGAAGGATCGAAATTTATTGTTGAGTAATGATAATGATATTTTTGTTATTGTTGTTATTATTTTTGCTTCTGGTTGCTACTTGGTATCCTTGATGTCTTTATTTTCTATTTGCTATATGTGCACCTACACGGTCTTTGATCTCCAATCTGCAATCTCATGATGATTCGCGCAGAGGATTATTTTGGGGTTGAGTAGTATGAGGATGCTAGACAACAGTTCTTAGAAGATTGTTTAACAGTGGGTCGCTGTGGGAAGTGAGAGGGGTGGTTTATATAGGTGCTGGAGGGAGAATTTGGTGAGTGATTCCACTGAATATGGGTTTGATTGTACATGATTTATCTCAAAATATATGTGTCACCCCGAGAGGAGGCGTATTAATAGATTCTTGGATCATCGGATATCACTTTTTGCATCAGTATTGTACTTGTGAAGTAGATCTCACCGACGAGGAGACGGGCCTATGATTAACTGGTATATGGCAGAATAACATGGAGAGTTCCTCTCTTGTATATGGGGAGATTCAGCGTGGTGTATGATGGAGATAGAGGATACAGGACAATATAATGGAAGATGAGTGAATATACGTTGGTAAATACTGAGTAGTGATGTTGATTTTCTATCACTGTGTTAAGGATTGAATCATTGCTGCTGTCAGTGGTTATCGTTCCTCTACTATGATTATTTTCAGTATTCTTATGATCATCATATCATATCATTATTTCACTACATCTTTTAAAGAATCGCTGGCTCGACTATGTGAAGCTATCTTTTCGTTGCAGCTATCTGGAATGATACCCGCACAAGAGACGAGATCTACAGTCTCTGAAGACGAACACTAGCCAGATTCTCTATCATATAGAGATGAAATCAGAGGGGAGCTTTGTTGTATCTTCTGCCGCCCCGAGCCCCCATTGTTTTCTTCTCTTCTGTGATATAAATGCACTATGATTATCACATATCTCCTCTAATGTACATTGAGAAAACTATACTGTCCAACTCATGCGCAGTAGATTAGAGTAGGAATCTTAAATTATCTCCATGATTACAAACTGGTGTGTCTTTATACCATCTGCTTTTCTCTTGACTTCCGTGACGAGGAATTAGCAACGAACGATTATCATCACTTCTCATTTACTCTTGTTACTTTTAACGAAATCTCCTATCGTTATTATTCCACAACTTGATTGTCATGATTCCTTAACATTTCCTGAATTTGCAAAAACTCACATGTTTATACTCTCAACTCCCTAGTTTCTCAGCACAGTAACCACAGGAACGAGCTTGTGTTTGTTTGTGACGAAAATTGAACTCGTGCACCATTCGATCGTTCCTGTGTGTCTCAACAATAGTATCTAGGGAAGGAAAGAAATCTTTTGGAGGCGAAGACGTGGTATTTAATATTGGATGGGTTGGATTATTCTTGGTGTAGGGGAGTCTAAAAGTGGTGATTGGGAAGGGGGGAAGACTAGGTGAATGGGAAGGGCATGTGGTGTCCTTTTCACTTACTATCTGGATTTGATCAATATCTAGGAGGTATTAAAAATGTATTATTCCATGATCTTAGGGTTTATTGGACCTACTAATTTGTTCGGACGAAGAGACATCGGTAGTAGAAGTGAGTTTGTGAACATCCTGTATAAAGAGTTGCGCCTCTTTTACTCGAGAGAGACCCTTAGGAAAGTGACTGTGGGAAGAGAAACCTTATTATCATTGTCATCGCCACATATGAGTTTCTGCTAGCGGTGCCTATTATGATTTTCATTGTCGTTTTTAAGTATCTGTTGTAGTCCTTGTATACTATTAACTACTAGGAGATCCTACGTGAATCTATCTCTTCTCTATTCGACTTGAGATACCTACCAGGAGTAGTCTTATATTCCGAATTCGAGTTGTCTTCTTAAAACTCATTCAAAACTTATTTAAAAGACTTAAGAGTTTTATTAGAAAAACTTATCTCCTCTCTCTCTTTCACCTCATCTTCTATCTTCTCTCCTCTCTATATTTCCTACCCTCTTCCCCTAGATCTCGATCTACCTCAATATCAGTATACAGAAGGGTTAAAGCTATACAGAAATGACTTTGCTAAGAGTATCTATCAATCAAAAGATAAGACTTCGTTATGATACACACGTAGTACGCACATTTGGGATAATGGTCTTCAAGTGTTGGTATCAACTTGGTTGATAAGTGTAAGTACTTAGATCTATGTGGTTTTATTCGTTCTTGATCATTAATATCTATGGGAAGCTAGTACTTAATATAGGGTAGCACTAGCGCGACGCTAGCTAATACAGTGCCCTCTTTGATCACATGATCGATGTCCCGACATCAAGATAACAACAACGATGTAACAACATAATAGATAATCACATCAATTATCATTAATCTAGATAGAACTTTTGAAGCAACCCAATCATCACTTTACGATACGATTCTCGCAAACCGAGATATCGTCAACTTCTAGCTGTAATGGCAGAGAGAAGAATATATCACCTAAAGTGAAAAGAACAGCAGCGAATACGAACAAGACCGCGTTGTTACTTACGAGGAAGAACATGATAATCCATTCATGTTCACTGATTTTATGTGCACTATGAAATTTCGGTTCTATTACTCAACACTGAGTTACATAAATTTACGATCACATCCTTGAATATAAGAAGTTCCTGATCAATATAATCATCTACTTGAAAGGCAGATGTCAGAGTATTATGCATCAGTTGTATTATTGTTGTCTGTTCGGGCAGTTCTTTGTCGCACTGTTACATACATAGGCTCTATCAGTATAATAATGCATTACACACTTGACCTTCAAACCTGGCTTATGAAGAATGTGCGGCTTTTGATGATTTCCTTTTCACCTATTCTTCATGTAAAAGGCGATTGTTTGACAGCCACATATCTTGACCTGCATTTTGCGCATTATGTCGAAGTGAAAGGCGGTCGGTTAGCGCACCATCTCGATATGATATCTTTAGAGTGGGGCCTTTGAATCCATCGAGGAGAGTGAATCTCCTGGTCAAAAATTGATACTTGCTCCGTCTCCCCGCCCACGCAGACAGCTCCACTATTTGTCGAGGGAAAATACATTCTCAAGGAATAAAATAGCAAAAGAGTTCACACGCCCGGTGGCGCGCTAATCTCTGTTGACCTTTTAAGCGGTATCAATGACTCCGAAGGGATCGAATGCTCCCTACAAAGATACCGCGCGCACCTCGAGTTGTTGTGTCTGACCGTTGAACTAGATTGCCGATTTGCCAATACCACCATTTGACGAGAAAAATGGTAGCAGTTGAGGTTATATTGATTAAGCGATGATGCGCCGGCACTGTCAAAATAATGATATTGCAATCCTGAGGCTCGCAAATAAATTTGATCACATGGAGAACTGAGTTTTCTTAGATGTAATGGTCACAAAAAAACAACAACCAACAAACGACCACTCTCTGTTGTTCTCCCAATTTGACCAATTTCCACAAACGATCGCGGGAGCGCCTTATTGCATTGGAAAGTATATTGCGATAGTTGCCGAAGATGAATAGTAATATCAACCTCGCAACCATAGCGATATAGCCTGCCTTACTTGAGGTGCGCCAAATCGGTTCCACATTCCTCGCTAGATGTTTGATAGGAAGGTTTGGTAGGAACAATTCATGAATTCCAAGTCTCTGATCATGCAGAACTCCAGAAAGCCAAAAGAATAGTTCAAGTGAACTTTCGTACGGTGCTTTCGACCAAATGAGATTGACCGAGTTGCCATCAAACATTTTAACGCTTGCTCGAGCAATAGAATAGATTTCTGGAAAGCACTAGCTGGTGGCAAGAAATCCGAGTAATAGCAATATCAAGTGATATTGAGAAATAGCAAAGAAAGAGCGAAGCTGTATTAGGGAGGATGGCTCGGATGAATGGTCAGATTGGCTACTAAAAGTTCAGTATACTGTACAGCTGTAACTATCCGGAATGATTTGAAAAACAATCTGCCACAAAGTGTATGTCTGGCACCAGTGGTGAGAATACTAAAGCGCTAGACAAGGACTTCTCAACTGCCTGTTGCCTTCAATCCTCCAATCAATCAGTTCTTACTTTCAACATACTGTGTCCTTTATCATAATTTGAACAATTGGTGCATTTCACATGGCAAATCCATAGTTTTGCCCGTCTCCCGTCATGAAGGCCGAATGAAGTGAAGGCGAACAAAATTTCACAACGGTGTTCGGAGCCACCGATATTGCTAAGCTTGATATGGAAAAGAGGCGCAAGTCACGTGAAAACGATGACGAAATAGCCACACTTTATCTTGACATTTCTGTAAAGTGGATCATCCATCATCCATCATCCTCTTTCGCCTCTCTTCCTTCTTTCCCTCTTTTCTCATAAGTCATCGGCCAACCAGGATTTTGATCCGAGCCGGGGTTTACAACTACAATTACGATATGATTGATTGATTGATTTGGATTACTCCGGAAAGATGGGGGGCTTTGCATATTGCTCCCCGTCTATGTATTCTAGGGCTGTAACGAGGATTTGTTCGAGATACCAAGTCAAGATACCAAGTATGCTGAACCAAAGAAGAAAAGGCTGACAATATTGCCTGAGAGATCCTTGGAAATGTGGTATAAGAATTGCCAATGTCTCTTATTTGCGCGGGAGGTGATAGTTCTACATATGCCTAGGAAAGTCATCGGAGCTTATCTCATTTTTTTATTTTGGAGGCTGATGCGGGGCAATGAGCCATAGACAGTTGCCAATAGGAAATGGGCACTGATACTTGACATCTTACCGCATATCGTGCCGCAGTGCACCGTGCGGTATATGAACTCCATATGAATCTGAACTGCTCCTCGACGATGAAGCTAGCTGGCTGCTGGATGTCTTTGAAACCCATGTTGCCAATAGAAAACATTGTTCAACCAATGAGACCCTGATGTTTGAATATGATTCTAATGACTCGCAGATGTCAACAATTGCCTACTAGGTACGGAAAGTTAGAATTATCTCAATTTCAAGATACTGGTACAGTACCAAGAAAACTATTGGTACAACATCTCCACCCATCTCAACTCATAACAAGGAAGAACTGGAAGGATTAGTATGCAAGTCAGATATTTAAATTTCACTCTTCCCTTCATCCAATCCCCCTTCATCCCATTTCAAGGTTATGTGGATACCTTGAACTATCAGGTATGTCTTTTCGCTGCACACTAATCTAGTGTCTTCTGGGGATGCTTGTAGTTCGATAAGCCTTTATCTCAGTAGAAAACTCCCCTCTAGCCTCGAGCTATAAGGAACCATCTTCTTAGTTTTTCGCACATTGAGATGGAGAATTAGATACAGTAATCCGTTTTTCCCTTTCCTATACATTATATAAGGTTTCCATTCATCTATTATACATCTCACAACCAAGAACTTCAAATACTCAGCAATCCCTCTAGAAGAGATAACACCTCGCTGGCGTACTCATCAATCTGATCACTACAATCAAGATTAATCAATACCGCCATTAATGTGGTTTGCGCGGATTATTACACCTCACCCAATTCACTATTCACCAATAGTTCAGTAAGTGCTCATTCCTCATCATGATCATGGCGTAATACTCGCGAAAGTGTACAACTATTGCGCCATCAACTCTCCTTTGTTTCTGAATTTTCTGTTATGAATATGTATTGAATATCGTTCTGACTTCATTAAATAGTTTCCCATCGAGAAAATGGCGATAAATCAAGAATCCCCAGTCATGTCTTCAGGAAACAATTCAAATAACGATGTCAACGCCAAATCTAGAGCAGAATATATTAGCGAAGATCAAACTCCTACTACGGACTACAAAAAAGTCAGTTGGCGCAGTACATGGGGATTTGGTCCCGTAACCATCGGTCCAAGAATTGGTCCAGTTTTGCCACATCTTCGTCTAGATGCCGATGCATCAAGCCTCAGCGGGGACAGTGGAAAGGATCTTTTGAGCCAGCAGATTGAAGCCGAAGCAGGTTCTGCTATCAAATATCGTAGTTGCAGTTGGCAAAAGGTAATACTGAATATTCTCGATTCCATCATACGTATGAATGCTAACTCATAATAGACTGCGGCTCTTCTTTTCTCAGAATATATTTGTTTGGCAATTATGTCCTTCCCATGGTCTTACTCAGTTTTAGGACTTGTACCAGGTCTTATTTTGACTGCGGTTGTCGCATTCTTGGTCCTCTACACGTCCCTAGTTTTATGGGAATTCTGTATGCGCCATCCTGAACTTAGAGATGTTTGCGATGTTGGACAAATGCTTTTTGGTGGAAGATGGGCATGGCATGCTACTGCTATCATGTTTCTTTTGAATAATACCTTTATTCAGGTAAGAATTATCGGATCCGCGTTTTACAATTTCTAACATGATCAGGGTCTCCATGTCTTGACTACTGCAAAATACCTGAATACTATCACCAATCACAGTCAATGCACAGTAGTGTTTGCCGTTGTTGCAGCTGTAATCTGTTGGGTCTGTTCCGTTCCAAGGACCTTCAGCGCTCTATCTTGGTTGGCCACATTATCCGCTATTTTCACCTTCATCTCCGTCATGCTTGCTACAATTTTTGCCGGAATCGAACCTCACCCTCTTGGATACAATCCCGATCCTAACTCCATCATCGCAGCCACTGGTCTTGCTGGAGGTGCCCCTACCGTTACTGCAGTAATGCTTAAGGGTACAACGTTTGTGAATGGTTTCAATGCCTTCCTCAACATCTCCTACACATTCATTGGTCAAATTACTATCCCTTCTTTCATGGCCGAGATGAAAAACCCCGCCGATTTTCCCAAAGCTCTTTGGGCTGTCACCATTGCCGAAGTCATTGTTTTCAGTTTGGTCGGTTCAATCATTTACGCTTTCACTGGAAATCAATACATGACAGCTCCAGCCTTTGGATCTTTAGGAAAGAAGTTATACGTCGATATTTCCTTCTCCTTCATGATTCCAACGCTCATCTTCCTCGGAGTTCTCTATGCCTCCGTCTCTGGCCGCTTCATTATCAACCGTGTCTTCCATAACAACAAGAGACATCTTCATGAAAATACAACGAAAGGCTGGGTAGTCTGGATTGCCATCTTAGCTGCGACTTGGGTTGGCGCCTTTATCATAGCCGAAGTTATTCCGTTCTTCTCCGATCTGCTATCTCTGATGTCTTCCCTCTTCGATTCCTTTTTTGGATTTGTTTTCTGGGGTGTAGCATATATTAGAATGAGACGTGTAGATCATGGAGCGGGATGGGTCAGCAAGACGAGCAAGGTTGGATTGAGTTTCAATATATTGATTATATTGATTGGGTTACTGTTTTTGACTGCAGGAACTTATACAAGTGTTCAGAGTATTGTGGATGGGTATAATGCTGGATCATTTGGGGGTGCGTTTACTTGTGCTAGTAATGGTATTTGAGTAATAGATTGAGGATACATATTGGTTCTGGTTCTGTGCTTTGGTATGTAGTAGAGCCAATGACTTCTTTCAATGGGGAAATTTAGTAATAGAATTATGATATTTTAATTATTAGTATTTGAATGAGGGGATAGTGTGTAGTTGTGTATATTGTAATCCTACTCAACAGAGAGTTAATTTGCTTTTCTTTGATGTGATGGAGTGGAAGTTTGGTTTAGTTTGGTCCGGGGAGGCGTGTGGAACTGAAAATTTGAAGACTTGAAGACTTGCTGAGTAGCACATAACATATAGGATATTGGGATTGTTTGTGTTGCTAATTACATAGGAGAATCGGGGATTCATTGTTTAGGGCTCCGAGGAAGTAATGAGATATAGATAGCGAGAGTGAGGAAATGAGATGGAGGAAGGAAGAAGGAAGGGACTATATTGCGAGATCTAGATGAGTTTGGAGAGGAAGTGATGGAGATAGTTTCGAGTAGAAGAAAGAGAGGGAAGGGAAAGGAAAGGGATGAGGGAGAAATTTTGCTCTGGATGTTACTTTGAATCCTGTGTGTGTGTGTGTGCGCGTGAATATGTGTATATGTCTAAGTAGTTGTAATACTTTTCATTCTGAGGATAGAGGGAGGATATGGATGATGTGAATGGATGATATATATAAACCGAAGAGTGATTCATTAGGAAAAATACGAGGAAGTCTGCCATTGGACTCGCAATTTGGGGGTTCGAGCTCAGGGTTATTGAGTTATTAGAACGGAAAGGAAGAGGAGATGGAATGAAATGTAAAATGAGTCTAGGTAACACAGTATATCATGATGGAGCATGATGATTCGAGACTCGGCAGTGATCAAGCGAAGAATGTTTACGAGATGCTAGTATGGCGACAAGGATTCGGAGGAAGATGGATGACATACAGGAGTAAAAGACGAGCTGGTGATCTTATCCGAATAAGATGTAGTTTTAAAGAGGTGAGGAGAAAAGGTCAATGTAAAAGTGTCGAGGGAGATGTCGCAAAGTAGACTCAGATGCAAGGGGCTCATGCATGAGAGTTCCATTTTTCGCTTAGAATGCGGGGGTGATGCAATGAGATGAGTGGGATGAGGGGTCTGAGGCTGAATATGGAGGGGTAAGTGGGCCTGCTGGACTCTTGGAGGGAAGAAAGGAAGTGGAACATTTGAGGGTGCATGGATATGATTTTCATTCATGTATTATTCGTGAAACATACAAATAATCATTAGGTAGAAGAACCCTAAATTGAAATGGATATCTGATCCTCATCGTGAACTCGCCATCCTCCCATTCAACACCTTGAAATCGTGAAATCATAGTTCTTTTTGTCATCACTAGCGTTCAAAGCAGATATCTGCAGACAAAAATAATAAAACTAGGGACAAAAATCATTCTTAAGCATGAACACCTCAACTTTCGCATTCATTTGGTACAAGAAAGTATTGACTCCATATTCTTGACACAAGCTTTGGCAAACAACAGTTTTAATGGCGGATGATTTGAACCATAGCTTAATTGTCAAGACTGGAAGTCAAAGTGTGAGAGAAATTCGAGGCTGAAAAACTAGAGGATATCTATGCTTGAGCTTGAGTCTTGAGAGCAACCTTGGGTTCCTCCCCGTAAACTGTTCTGTACTCTTGGATGTATCGTTCATGATCTGCTGCAGCAGCATCCTCAAAAGGCTATTGACATGTTAGGGAGATATAAAATGAGTGGAGATGGATATCTTAGCTTACCTTGCGTTGCTCAGGCGACAGAGACTTGTACTCTTGTGCAATCTGCTTTGAGGATTCAGGAATGCTGAGACTAGCATAATCACCTGATGCATGTCTCTCTTTCATGAATAAGAACAAAGATGAGGTAACATTCTTTACCAGTCGATCATCTTTGATGATTCTCGGGCTCGCAGGTCTGTTGGTCAATCTTCGAATGTGATGACGTGCATAATTCGCTGTGCGAATCTCCGTTGGAGTATGACTCTCGACCCAATTCTTGTAGTTGCGTGAATTGACAGCCTTGTTCTCCTTCGCAATTTGTTCTAGTCGCTATTACATGATTAGCATAGCTAAGTCAACTGAAATGATGAATTATTTACCTCTAATTCTGCTGTCGATGCCGATTTATATTTCTCTGATGCCTCCTTGGCCGCATCAACGACAGGAGTTCCTTTCTTAACCAAATCTATAAACAATACGCTATAGGCAGTATCAGGAATTTGTTTTGGAGCTTCTTTAAGGAACGCAACAGCCTTCAATTCCTTCAACTTCAATTTTAACTTTTGTGAGTCGGTCAATTGCTTCTTGGGCTTTGGTCCTGGCTTCTTCGTAACTGTTTTCTTTGCTGGTTTGCTCTTCTTGACTGGCTTCGCAGTTTTTTTGACGGTCGTTTTGGTAGACTTTTTAACGGCAGGCTTAGCAGCAGTGGTAGATTTCTTCGCAGGCGCCTTTTTCGCAACTGGCTTCTTTTCTATGACAGTTTTGGTTTGGGTAGCCTTAGTCGCAGTAGCATACAATCTGCGCGCCAAGAAAGAAGCTGAGGGAGCTTTCAAGGTAGATTCGACATTGTGTTGACCTTCAACGCGTTGTAACTGGCAAACGGCAGCAAGAAGTCGATTTGTTGATAAATTAGATCCGCCGATTCTTTTGATAGCTGCGCGACCAACGTTGGACAACATGATGGCTTAAACAGTGACCAGATGTCTCACGAGTGAGGTGGTTGGAGTGTACGGAGTAGAGATTCTGATGATATTATACAAACGAAATATTACGATTGAAGTCATCCAGCTACTTCCCTCTATTCGTCTAAACACGCTAGGGCCCGCAAAGCTTCAAAAGCCCGTGCGCGTCAAGGGTACGGCAGACTGAACAGACCAAAGTATCCTTAAATATCTTTCGGCAAGTAGATTCGTGGAAAAAGTAATCACGACCGTTCTACAATAAATAAACGTCAAGTATTATTAACTTCAAGTCTTCCTGATCTACTCAGTCTGAAGTTATAGACTGAAACTTGGACGAAATAGATTTATTTTCCACCATTTCATCGTTGCCTAAAAGTATTTCTTCCCATCGAAATACCATCCATTACTTGGGCAAAGAATGGCTCGGCACAGGGATTCTCGCTCACCATCGCCAACAGGAAGCCACCACTCATCGAGACGAAGCCGAAGGGATGATAATGGCCGACGCGATCGAGATAGAAGAGATGATGTTAGAGGACAGAGGCGTTCTCGAAGTCCTGACGTGAGAATTCTTACTTATAGACCCGCGCCTCCGTCACAAGATACTAACGAACATCAGCGTCGCGAACGGGATCGAGATATAACTCGTAGAAGAGATCGATCAGTAGGGAGATTGAATGATGATTACCATAGATCAGGTCGCCGTGATAGATCTCGAGATCGCAGAAGCTATGCCGATAGGGAACGATCACCAGATCGGAGACGACGTAGAAGTCGGGAGCGAGATTACCGTGACAGGCGAGACGATTCTTATGATGATAGGGCTCGAAGACGCCGCGAGGATTCTACTGACTCATGGTCCCGTAGCAGAGGAGACGAAAATCGCGGACAAACCCCCAGATCAGATGCTGGTGCAAAAGTTAATGATGTGAGTTATTCTGGTTTTTATCGCAAAAGTTCAATTACTCATTTAGCGTCACAGGCTCCGAAAGCATCAGCACCCGCAGTGCAAACCGAAGAACAGAAGAAAGCAGAACGTTTAGCAAAATTGGAAGCATGGAAGAAGAAGATGGCTGAAGACAAGGAGCGTAAGGAGAAAGAGTTGGCAGCGGGTGGGACTCGAAAGTTACTTGATGCTATAGATCAAAAAGCCAATGGATCTCCATCCCTAACCTCGCCAAACTCTCCCGCAACTCCTGCAACGCCTGCGACACCAGTCGATCTCGCACCGCCAACGAATTATGCTGGGAAATTTGATCCGAAGGCAATAGCTAAAAAGGCAGTGGCTAGCTCGAGTAGTACAACTACTCTTGGGAAAGATTTACCATTAAAGGAATTATCTAAAGCGTCCGCCACCTTAACTTCTACGGTCAAAGGATTACAAGCTGACAAAAAGCCAACAGCTTTCAGCAGCACCTCAAAAGGTAAGCAAAAATAATACTCTTACATGATGATCTAGCTAATTGGTCTGATTACAGTATCTGCGTTACCTAAGACAAGGGGAAACCTCAGTGTTTTTGGACTTGGAGCAAAAGTTACCGACAATGAAAAGACATCTCAGAAACGTGCCTTGGATTTTGATGAAGATGAAGGGTCAAGAAAGAAATTAGAAAAGCTACCGACCCTACCAATGGCAAACTCCGAGGAAGATGATGCTGCGCTCGCTAACGGTGTTGAGGAACAAGATGATGACGATGATGCTGATTTGGAAGCTGCCGGTACGGAAGAAGAGGCCGCAGCAGCTGCTAGAGCTGCGGCAGAAAAGCGTGAAGAAAGATTACAAGAAGCCGAAGCTCAACCGCACACAAATGGCGATATCCAAATGGAGGAAGCCCCTCAAGCCGATCCAACCGCTATGGATGAAGACGAAGAAATCGACCCATTGGATGCTTTTATGGAAGAAATGGGAGATCCCTTTGCAGTACCAAAAAACAATGCAACTTTTATCAAAGATAATATCAAGAGTCAGCCACAAGAACCGGAACCTTTATTCGGGGATGATGATGTGGACCTAAAAGCCTTAGACGCGGATCCTGATGAAATTCTCGCAATTGCAAATAAAGCAAGGAAAAAGAAGGACATTCCAACTATCAATTATAGTGCTTTGGATCTTCCACCATTCCGAAAAAACTTTTACACCGAACCAACAGAACTCGCAGAGATGACGGAAGCTGAAATTGCTGATCTACGCCTCGAACTCGATGGTATTAAAGTAGCTGGTAAGGATGTTCCCAAGCCTGTGCAGAAGTGGTCTCAATGCGGTCTTGACGTAAAGTCTCTGGACGTTATAACAAAGCTAGGTTATGAAAGACCTACATCTATTCAAATGCAAGCTATTCCTGCAATCATGTCTGGTCGGGATGTTATTGGAGTGGCCAAGACTGGATCGGGTAAAACCATCGCTTTCTTGCTACCCATGTTCCGTCATATTCGAGATCAACGACCTTTGAAAGGTTCTGATGGGCCTATTGGTCTAATCATGACTCCTACGCGAGAATTGGCAACACAAATTCATAAAGAGTGTAAACCATTTTTGAAAGCAATGGGACTTCGTGCGGTTTGCGCGTACGGAGGTGCTATTATCAAAGACCAAATCGCTGATCTCAAAAGGGGCGCGGAAATAATTGTTTGTACTCCTGGAAGAATGATCGAACTGTTGGCGGCAAACTCCGGTAGAGTCACGAATCTGCAACGTGTCACATATGTTGTTCTAGACGAAGCTGACCGCATGTTTGATATGGGCTTTGAACCTCAAGTTATGAAAGTTTTTAACAATATTCGCCCTAATAGACAAACCATTCTTTTTTCAGCTACTATGCCTCGAATTATGGACGCACTGGCCAAGAAGACACTTCAGTCACCAGTTGAGATTGTTGTTGGTGGAAGAAGTGTCGTTGCACCTGAAATCACACAAATCGTCGAAGTGCGAGAAGAAAAAGAGAAGTTTCACAGACTTTTGGAACTTCTTGGAGAACTTTACAATACAGATGAAGATGCTCGAACACTAATCTTCGTTGATCGACAAGAGAAAGCTGATGACCTGTTGAAGGACCTGATGAGAAAAGGTTATCCATGTATGTCTATTCATGGTGGAAAAGATCAAGTTGATCGCGATTCTACAATTGATGATTTCAAAGCCGGTGTGGTTCCTATTATGATTGCTACATCAGTAGCTGCTCGAGGTCTTGACGTCAAGCAGCTTAAGCTCGTTGTAAATTTTGATGCACCCAATCATTTAGAAGACTATGTCCACAGAGCTGGCCGAACTGGTAGAGCTGGTAATACTGGAACTGCTGTTACTTTCATTACAGAAGAGCAAGAACAGTATTCGGTAGGTATCGCGAAAGCTCTTGAACAATCTGGACAGGAGGTACCCGATAGGCTTAATGAGATGAGGAAATCATACAAAGATAAAGTCAAAAGTGGGGCTAAAAAGGAAAGTTCAGGATTTGGTGGAAAGGGTCTGGAACGATTTGATGCTGAGCGCGAAGCTACTAAAGCACGTGAACGTAAGATACACAAAATTAATGGGGAAGATGAAGAGGAAGAGAAAGAAGAGAAGGATGATGATGTTCTTCTCAAAGCTGCATCAGTCGTTCAACCTGCTACTTCTACTGCGCCACCAAAATTGCTTGGTGTACCGAAAGGTATCGATCTCGACGGTGATATCAAAGTTCATCGCACCGAACCTGCAGCTACCACCGGCTCCAAACTTGATAAAGTTACATCAGCTATCGACGCTATTAATGCACGTCTTAACAAAACAGGACAACTCCGTTCCGGCGTCCCAATTGATAATAAAGGACCAGATGCAGGTGCTTTCCACGCAACATTGGAAATCAATGATTTCCCACAGAAAGCTAGATGGGCAGTTACGAATAGAACTAATGTGGCTAAGATTTTGGAAGCGACTGGTACTAGTATTACGACCAAGGGAAGCTTCTATCCGGCCGGGAAAGAGGTTCAGGCAGATCCCAAATTGTATATTCTGGTTGAGGGAGATACAGAAGTGGTAGTTACAAATGCTATGAGGGAGTTGATGAGGTTGTTGAAGGAGGGTACGATGGCGGCGGCGGATGCAGAGGGTAGAGCACCGGTGGGTGGCAGGTATACTGTTACTTAGGCGGAGCCTGGGATGGAAAAATGGGTGGAATGGAAGTGTTTATATATGCGGATTGGGAGGGGTAGTCACTTGGCTGTAATACAAACATAACAACCTTTCTATCAGTACATACATATGTTTCTTTGTGCTTGGGATTAAGATTGATAAATCGCCGAAGTGTTGAAGTGTTGAAATCTCTTTTCCATTATCGCTTCACCTAACGTCCTATTTCACATTGTCTCTGCTGCTTCTACTATCTGATCATCCTCTTCTTCTTTCTAGAATGAACTCCTCTATTCGTAAGGGTCGTGAAGTTCAAAATTATGTATCCAAGAAAAATTACCCGGTACTCCTAATCTATCCAATACGATGGAGCCCGAAAAGCAACATGAAAAAATGGGATATATCCAAATGGGTGCCCGTCCATTACCCAAACACCTCTACCCACCCAAATTCTTCAAGAATCGAAAAATAACTCCACTTCTCCAAATAAAAATAGTCCTGCACCTCACTTCTCCTTTGTCGTCCAATGCCGTTCCCATCAATTGTTCAGTGGCCTAGTTCTTCAATTGTAAGCTCTAGCCTCGGCAGCGAGATCTGCCTCCCTAGCTTGTCTTTCTGCTGCGCTTGTATTTTCACGTGTTGTCTTGAGGGTCTGAGATTGTTCTTCTTGAAGTTTCTTTCCTAGTGCGCCTTTGGGCTTTTTGGATGAGAGACGTGCCTATTTTGAGGAGAGGGTGTTGAGTCAGCTTGGCGCAGATTGGTTGGAGTTTGGGGGGGGGGGATATGAAATGTGAAATTTGAGTTGGAGATGAAGAATATCTGAGTGAAATAAATGGGGGAGATAGGGGAGATGAGTGGAAAATTTACCTCTGCGGCCTCGGCAGCTTTCCTCCTGGCATCTTCTTTTGTGCCCGATGATCCAGAGCCGAGAGTTCGTGCGGGACCACCGACAGTGTAGGTACGGGGAACGGTGGAGGCGGAAGCGGAGACAGAGGGTGGGAGTGTAGATTTTGAGGGGGCAGGCTTCGGGGGTGCGGAGCAGAGAGTGCGGCCGGGTTGGTCGAAGGGGGAGGGGTCTGATGAGGTACTGCAGCAGTTTCCCATTTTTGTGGGGATGAGGGGTGTAGAAATGGGGAAGCTGGAATGCTGTGATTGAGGGGTTTGATTGTCTGATAGATACGATCGAAGCGCGAATGGAGAAGTTCTCAAATAGTCTACAAGTAACGAAAAAAGTGTAAGTATCCTCGATTGCGATTGCGACTGCGACTGAGAGGCAGTGGAGGTGGACGGGTGAAAGGGTACACTGGACAATACACTATTTCATCTGGATCTTCGAAGATAGTGTCGCGGTTGGAATTGTACAAAATAGCTCCGTAATTGTAAAGTTTTGGGGGTGGCTGTGGGGGCTGTGAATGTGCGAGATTACGATATTGATAGGAATTGCGATGCAGTGGGAGTGGGAGTGGGTTGAAAAGACGGTATTCCGAATAATCCACGAATTCTGATCTCTGGTAAGGATCTGAAGAATGCGAGAGATTTTGTAAGGATTTCGAATTGTACAAAGGTTTCTCGTAGCTGTAATCTGACGATAACGATGATATTCGGTTTCTTGCTCTCTCCAAATCAGAATAATAATCACTGTCGCATTCAAAGATAGTGTCGGTATCAATATCAAGGCTGTGATCTCGCGATGAGAAAGTCGTAGTGGAAATGTGTTTGCGCGAAGTAATTTTGGCAGAGGGAGGACCTTGGACGAGTGGAATTATTGGTTGTGACGGTATGGTGTGGAGGAGAGGTAGGTGGTATTGGAGAAAGTTGAATCGTGGAGTGTGACTGAAGAGGTGAAGTTCGAAAGTAATGATATAGTACCACCAGGGCCAAGAGTGAGGCTGTGTTGTCATTGGATGGATGAAGGGTGGTCCGGGTTGAGGGATTGACATGGATTGGGTGAAGAGGAGAAAGGTTATTGAATTATTAGAGACAATGGAATATCATATTATGTACGATATGCCATGTCAATATATAACAAATGTTCGAGAAGCTTCAGATGAGTTTTCTACCTACCTGCCTGCTTACCTAGTGATATATCTGGATATTAGATTTAGATTGTGTTTTATTATCTTATACCTCTCTCGTAGACTTTTACATTACCCTGGCCGAGGTTTCTAGTAGGGAGGACTCGAAGCTGGAATAGGAAGCCTTATGTAATCAAGTCTTATCGATAAGAGGATAAATAATGGATGGGAAGCAGAAAGGCGGGGAAAATCAATCCAATTAAGATTTATGATTGGTTAAAAGTCATTCTCCTTATAAATTCAACCCAATCAAGATTCATCATTAGTCATCGAGGAATCTTTATCGTATGGTCAGAAAAAAACGGTCAAAGAGGAATGGAGAGGAAAGCACGGGGAATTTCATTTTTTTACAGATGATGACGGTCAATATAAAGTTATCGACCTCAAGATACGAATACACCAAAGGGACTTGAAAGATCATATCTCATAGCTTTCCTTCTTCTTTCATCAATAAATCACATGTTTTATATTTGATATTTGATCTGATTTACGAGTAAATAAGTAAATAATCATATAATAACCCAAATAAGTAATCATTTATTAAAGTTCGTGTGATTAAGAAAGAGAAAGAGAAAGATCTTTCAAAAACACCTTGTTGGATACCTTTTTCCCCTTCACCTTTACCTTTACCTTCACTCTACCTACCCAGCTATTGCACCACACACGCACACACGCCCACACTCAGATACCCTCTTTGATTTGCTTCGCTTTGCTCCAAACCCAAACTCTCCCTTTTCGTCGGATCCATCATACATCGTTCATCATACATCACACACCACATCAAATACCACGCTTGACCCCACGGCAAATCTTTCCATTTGCCTTATTAAATTCCGCTTTTCTTAAACATTTGGATAGAAGAGGATCGCAGGTTGGCTCAAACGACGCTTCGATTCGAGATTCCAATCATATTCTCTATATCTCTTGAATCTTGCTATCCGTGCAAGATCTCGACTCGTCTTTCCTTCCTTTCTTCGTCGTGCGCACTCTCCTACCATACAACTCGCATGCAAAGCAAGTAACCGTGAAGTTTGCAACCATGGAGCGATCTCCTCCAGCTCAAGAGCCTGCCCTAAAGCAATTCCAAAATATGTCGTATAACGAGTACAACCAACAATACTTCCCTATGCAGCAACCTGGTGCGATAACCTTTCCTCTAGATCCGCATTGCGCCGCATCGATGTCAACTCCTGCTCAATCATATAATCATGGCGGAATGGCTCAAGACGAGCTTTGGAAAACTCAAGATTTTGCGCAGCAGTTAAATCTACCATCGCAACCATATCAACCATACATTTACCATCAAACAATGGATCTGTCGCAACAATTTCCTTCTCTGCAGAATGTACATCAAGGATATTCGAACTTGAGATCCGGCGCCCACTCACTTCCAAATTATACAGAGCAGTCACCTAGAAAGCGACAAAGAATTAATGAAGTTCCTACTACAAACCAGTTCATGCATACAATACCAAAAGAACCTGAAGTCGATACAACTAGCGAATGTTGTAGTTCTTGTCCAAGTGGTTCGGTGTGTGCCGAATCTGATTGTGGTGAAAATGATGTTGTTGTTGCTTGCACCTCTCAGGAGTGCGAACAACCCGTCTGCACTTCCCCAGAGTGTGAGCAGCCTGTCTATACAGAACCTTGCACTAAAGATAGCGCCCTCAGCAGAAGGTGTTCAGTTGTTGGAGATAATTTACCTTCTGATAGGATGTATCAAAGTTGGGATAACTTTCCTGCAATTATGCCAATAGAGCAGCAACGACCTTCCAGAATTCAATCTTTCGCGCCATCGACATCAGGAAACAACCAAGCTCCGCAAGAGATCTCACCCTCTCCTGTACCAACGACACCATCTCTAGTCATGAATATGGAAACACCTTGCTCAGATATGACATCCTTACAAATACCTGGACTTCCTATGCAGCAACTCACAGATAATATGTCTGGTTCCTCGCTCAATGGTACTGGAATGCGCTTTGGTGATGGCTTGGAAATGTTCAGTTGTAACTGGCTGGACTGTGGACAGCCAATGCATGATCAATTTGAATGGCATAGGCATTTTCACCAGGAACACATTGATCCGCAATTTACATTCAATTGTCCAATGCCTTCAACATCTTGTCAAGCACCACTCAACTCGAATCCTTTAGATCACTTACAGATAAATCATGGTTTTACATTCGAGGAGAGTATAAACGGATTTCAATGTCCTGCTCCAGGATGTCCTACCGAAGAGATGTATTGTGATCCTTCAGTACTTCACAATCACATTGATCAAATGCATGCTATACCTCTACAAGGGCAACTACAGTGTCAAGTTGATTCTTGTAACACTTTATATCAAGATACAAATCAATTCTTCAATCATTTGAATCATGATCACAATTTACCAATTCCAATGACTCCTGTCGAAGAGATTGATCTTTCAAGTATATCTGTGTCAGTAGAAGCAAAAGCGGAAGAAAAGGTGAAAGAAGAGACTGCTTCGGTAGCAAAGACCAATGGATCAGAATCAACTAATCATCTATCTTGCAAGTGGGCAGCTGATGGTCAATCTTGCGGTCAAGTATTTACTTCAGAAGATGATCTTCAAAGTCATGTCAAGGAAGTTCACTTATCTGTCTTGAACAAAAGTTCCGGTTACTTTTGTAAATGGCAAGGGTGTTCTCGAAAAGCAAAAATGGGTGATAAGGAAGGATTCTCCCAGAGAGGAAAACTTGAAAGACATATGGCTAGTCATACTGGATGTAAGTTGTTTCCTAATGCTTGTCTTACTTATAGAATACTAACCAAATCGAAATAGTCAAAGAATGTACGTGCGATTTTCCAGGGTGCGGAAAAACATTTGCAGCAGCACAATCCTTAAAACAACATTACCGTCTTCACACTGGTGAAAAGCCATGGAAATGCAGATATTGCCCCAAATCTTTCCCTCAACAAAGCGCGTGCACAGTCCACGAGCGTATACATACCCACGAAAAACCTCTGGAATGTTCGATTTGCAAGAAGACCTTTAGCGAATCATCAAATTTGGCAAAACATAGAAAGACACATGGGGAGAGAGGTCATTATGAATGTCCGGATTGTCCAAAGACTTTTCATCGGTTGGATCAGTTGAAGAGACATGCGGAGATGCATGAGAGGAAGAGGAAGAAGGCTGACGAGGGAAGCAGTGGAGGCGGTGGGGATGGGGAGGAGGAAAATAGTGAAGTAACAGAGAGTTTGGCGGGGGATAGTTTTGATGGACATAGTATTAGGAATATGGGGCAAGATGATAGGGCTTAGGGATGGGGTGGGATGAGTGGACATGGATCGTGAGGACTGGGAAATAGGGAATGGAGCTTTTGTGATACTTACTGTAATGATTCTACGAGAAACAAAGATCATGATTTACGAATCATGAATCATGGGACACGGGGCAGGTGCGATTTGATACTAGCGAGCGAGACGGTACGATGGATTATCATGGCAGCAATGCATATTATGCAAAGTAGATATGGGTGGATATCAAAGTTTGAGAATACCTGGTACATAAATGCGAATATGAATGGGTGGCTGGAAATTAAGAAATTCAAGCGTTTACCTGGATAGATGGATCATATGAATGGTAGCATAGGAACATGGATCAGTGGGCGGGAGAGAGGAACCGAGGGAGAAAATTAGGCAATGAATGGGAATTGAGTATGGGAGAGGATACCAAAAAGTCTTTAGTAAATGAGTAGATGCCTACCCGGCAGGCTGGTAGTTAGTGAATGATACCTTATTGAAATTTCAATAATACATGATTATATTATGAATTGAAAATGAGATTGATGAAGATTGGGTTGAAGAGGTAGAAAGGGAGAAGGAATTTTTGAGAGTGTGAAACTGGAGAATTATCTGGGAGAAATCAACTTTGTTATAGCGAATCATAGGGGAAATGAGTTCTGTTTTGAGAATCCGTGGGACTTGAGTTATTAGTGGTATTTTAATATAGTATGGTATGGTATAGTATGCTATAATCATGGGCATTTGAAATAAAGTTATTGTCCTATTCTTCTCTTTATATCTATTTGTCTATCTGTTTGTTCATGTATCATCTATATGATAATCCATACCTCATAATATAACACAACACAATATAATCAGCTCACTAGAATATAATCTTATTTATCTATTTATCAATTTATCTACCTACCTGCCTACCTGCCTACCTGCCTACCTGCCTACCTACCTGTCCATACAATACCTGTACCGAGTAGTTTATCCACGGTCCTTAACTCACCTCATTCATTACGATGAATCCATCGAATTTTTCACGATCGATCACCATGGTTTCCAAGAGAAGATGATGATCAGGTGATCAGATATCGAAACGAGCAATAACAGTATTGCTATTACTGGACTTGTAGGTTGTATCATATCATATCGTGTTATATCATAATACAATACTATATACATTACATTATAGAAAGAAGATCGATTCTGAATGTGTAATATATAATGTTGTGATTGCAATTACAAGTACAACTACAAGCACAATTACAACTGCAACTGTAAACGCAACTTTGAAGTTGTTGTGGTGGTGGTGTGATGTGTGTACAAAGATGGAGATTTGGGAAATTTGGGATACTATAAGAGAGGAGGGAGAGGAGAGAGAAGCACGGCATAGTACTTAGAATACAGAAAAGCAGAAGATTCTTCAACCACAATACAAAGAGTGGGTGAGTATGAAAATGAGGGTATGATGATAAAAAAGCAAAGGGAAGGAAAAACCCAGTATTCGAGTAATCGACGAACCCGTAGTGATCGGCCTGACGATTAATGACGGGGCAGAGAAGGGGATAGACATCTGGGGATGCAGAGGTAGTTTTATTCTCGAGAAGTCAGAAAAGATGAAGCGGAGTGAAGAATAGCTAAGGAAGATTTATGTTCATATCGTTTGACCTTTGGATATGCATGTACCTTCAAGTATAAGGAGATAATGTAAATGAGTGATAGGCCTAAGGAGAGGAAAATTGAAGTAGCAACACGTAGAAGAGCTTTCTGGTCACTGAAAATGCTGGAGGTGAACTTAATGGGAGTGCAGAGGGTGGAGAATGCATTTATATCTGAAACCGGAATACCAGCCGTGAATGGGAATTGGGGTAATTGAGATGAAAATGGGTGGTCTGGAACGTTATGGTATATGTAAATTTAGGTAGTGCATTTGATTATGGTTGGAATCAATAGGAAGATGCTGGAGTTGAGTGCAAGGGTGAAGATGAAATGATACCGGTTTCATTATGACGACATAATCTGGCAAATGGTACAAGGGAAAATCAACATAGAATGGCATAATAGTGTCCATTGGCTTCTTCATGGGGATCTTCAGGTTGCGGTAGAATGTGCCAACCAATACCAAAATTTCAAGCACGAGCCACAGCATATTGTGAAATATAACAGCTTGTTCGAAATCACTGCTGCAATCGTTCATAGCTCTCCCCAATATCGACGCTCGCAAGTTCCTGGGTATAATGGCCATAGAAGTCTCGAACCCTCCTTCGATTTCAAAACCATGCGTAACCGCTCGCACAAAATATCACACCAAATCCAAAGGACCCATTTGCTGTTTTGCTCAAGTCGTTTGATTTATTGGAAAAGGCTTTTTTACTAGCCATGCTATTTTCGATGATACACCGTGACCCGTGCGAAAACAAACCAGGCAAAAGGCACCATGCCAGCCATCCTCACAATCATAAACACCTACGTCCAGAAAATCTAAGCCTCCGCCTATTGTAAAGTTAGCATCATAATCCAAATCTTTCATCAATATCCCTCCACTATCTTCAAGCCCTAGGAAAAAGATATTGACTCGAGGCCAGCGGAATCGCATACCTTAACAGCGAACTTTCTTTGTGGGAAGTGCATCGATCTCTTCTTGGTCTTCTCCAACTGCAAATCCTTCTCGTGCTTGCTGAGACGTCTACGGATGGCACGAGTTTGCTTGGCTCGGAGATCGAGAGGAAGGTACTTCTTTCCCTTGTAGAAGAGACGGAGTTGTGCGCGTTGGTTGGCGTTAATGACTGTGAGGACCTTGGCAATTGACTTTCGGACGTCGTGGCTATAAGGAATATTTCATTAGTATCCATCTTAGTGATCTTGTATCTCGCAGATTCTCATCCAAATTTCGGCAGGTCGAAGAGTGACGATGATAATTAAAGTACGCACATCTTGGTGAGCTTAGCAGCAGATCCTCCAGCAATCTTCTGAGTTCTCAATTGACCGAGCTCAGTCTTCAACTCTCCGAGTTGCTTTGCGAGGTCCGCCTTGTTCTTGGACCAAAGTTGGCCAGTCTTTACTTTTCCGGACGACTAATCGCGATGATCCGTTAGCCATCTTTCTTCCATAAATTGAAACGTCAACATCTCCCCAAGGAATTTGTCGCATACCATTTTGAGTAAGGGTCGGGTGGTTGTCGATTGTGGTTGTCGGGCGTCTCGTCGTCGTGAAAATATCGAAGTTGCTGCAGAGGCCGTGGAAACAAAAGTTAGGGTTTACCGAGCCCACAAACTGAATTTTCAAAATTTTGGTTGACCAATCAGATCTAAGTCACATGACTATAAATTCCTTGCCAGTGTTTAAGGTTTTAAGAACATTTGATTGTGAAAGTCATTTGCAGCCAAGTGAAGAGAAATATGAGATTCACTTCCACTCCATTCAATTGAAAAAAACTCTCGAATCTCTTGATTTCAAGGTATTGCCAACTCAGCGATGTCAACTTACTATGCATTAGGAGCGAATACGTGTATTTATTTATGAGCTCTCGAAAGTCTTTCGGCGCAAACATCAATTATTGGCAAGCTCTTGACATCTACTGTTCATTTATCATAATCGTATGTAGGTACAAGTCGTAAGTATCAATTTCAATCGGTCGAAGAAAGCTTTGCATTCACTCCTGAAGAGTAGCAGGCAGGTCTGGTAAAATTGATGTACCTACCTAGTAGCCTACACAGCTCTTTCCTGGAAAGACTTGTTCTTCTCATGAGTTTGAGATCAAACCTTTGGCTTATGAGAAGTATGCATCGACGGATGCAGCATATTTGAATCATGTAACTATCATAGAATCTCTACATCTTTCTCGGACCACGACAACAAAATCTTATCATCACGATCAATACAACTACTACAAAGCTATCACGTCACTTCGAAATTTCACCTATGTCGGAGTTGAAAATCCATTGGAGAGAATCAAAGGGTGATTACCGCTTTAGGTACTAAGACTTACGAATTGGACAAGGCGTGTCGGGATTTGTGATTGACGTTCTTGCCTACACGTTAGGTGACAATATCAGATCTGGCTTGTTAGTGCCAATGGGTCGTACAATGAGGAGTATCACAGTGCGGGAATTATTGTCGGTAACCTTACAGCTGGGTCAAAAACTCTTGTATTCCAAAGTCTAAAGTATGGACATGGAGTTCATTCCCTATGGCCGGAATCAGATCTGCTACGATGCTGTTTTTCATTTAATACCTTCCATCCCTTCAAGAAACAAAATATTAAGGCTCTAAAACCAACAGAAAATTGTTATAGTCCCCTGTCCTATCAGGATACGATCGAATTTAATTTCGATTCCCACAGTGTCGCTCAAGTGTGGCGAAGGGACTGGATTATGCGACAGTCCCCTGACGTAGGTCTGATGGATTGAGGTTCACAGTATTGTTTGTCATTCTGTGAATTTATACATTTGAGGGGTGGTTGTGATTTGCTAGTCCAATGACTTGCGATCTATAATGATTCGGATTTTCATAAATGACATTCGAGTCGAAATCCGTGATCATCAGTGCCTTAATTCTTGCAAATTCAATATGCTCGATTTCAATGTGTGCTTTGCTAGAACCATCTGTAAATCAAATCGTTGAATCATTCCCAAGTCTCTTCTTTCCTTCGCAGTATCCCCATAGTTCTGCAAGTTATACTTCAAAACGCCAAGGATTTAGTTCTCTCCTTCCCTCGTTCATTATTCAAAGGCAAAGAAAACATCTTTCTCAAGCCTGTGGGCTTTGGGATAACAATTTATACGGCTTCTCATCGAATATAAGAGTTCTCAGAGTGCCACAAATGGAAACTACGAAAGCTTGCTATTCGTTGAATTTATGGAAAACGCATGGGAGATACTGGGAAATTGGGTCGTGGGAAATTAGAGAAATTAGATTTAGGGCAAAATCCTGGATATGCAATCGAGGGGTTGCGTGATGACCAGCTATCGATCTTACTAATGTTGGTGATGAGTGCTGATAAATGTGAACCCACGCTGTTACTGGGA